AAGTGAAAATAATGTAGGATTTCAGTGGCTTAATTTTTATCCAGTTGGTGCATGATAAGTCACTAGGAATTGCGATTTGAACTGCATCGTTGCAAAGCTTACGCCCAACCAGTCTACGTAAATTCGTTTTATTTTTTGACTACAATACTGCAAAATTCACAGAGCTGTTTCGTTCTGGATGTTAAAATTATAATATCAAACTGGGTCTTTCAGCAAAACCGCTTCTACAAGGTCAGCATCGCTGCATAAACAGCTCGAAATTCGAGGGATGAGAGAAGTGTTAATAAACGAGCAATCTCGGTTTCAAAAATTTCGCTATGAATGAATTCACTGAAGCTCAACGATGACAACCAGTCGAAACCGACAGTCGGACATGATTCTCTTAAAAAGCGCACGACATTTTCTGAAGCCACTCGTCACTGTTGAAAAAAAAAAAAACCTGATGAAACAATCTGTTTCTCAGTGCTGCCTGTGATGGATGATGAAGCGTGAATCATCCACGACAAACAGTGACATTTAAAGTAGCAGTTTGATTGAAAAAAGCGCAGAAATGCTGCCAAAGACAGAAGTTATACAAAATTAAAGTACTGCCGAGGGTGCCCGAGCTCAAAAAAAAAAAAAATCCGGCAGAAAGTGACCATTATCGCAGAGAAGTGTAATATAGCAACAGAATACACATTTCGGAATGTGAAACAGTTGGCATCCAACACCGATAAGAGGAAGAATTCAGTGCTGCATGCTATAAAAACTCGACAAATCTGGCCTTTCCTATCACATTTAGCAGATCTCCGGCCAACTCACTTTCAGTTTCTCGAAGTACTCCTACAAAAGGGAACCCCGCAATGCGCAAGGTGGCGTCTCAGTAGTGCCTCCACTGAATGTGTCAACTTTAAAAAGCTGGAGTATTATGTCAATGAATACATAAACAGGTGTCCTATTGGAAGAAACGTGTTTCTATTTCAGAAAAAAACCGGCATTATTTTGCAACAACCCCGACGACTCATTATCTTTTTTTTAGGAAGAAGAAAGTCCGAAGATGTTTCCTGTTCTGCACGCGGCGAAACAATCTGTATCCTGGAAAAACTTGGACGAAGATGCAACGGGCTTCTTTTCTACACAGTGGTTGCGCTCGTTTAAAAAAAAAGAAAAAAAAAACAAGAGATGCTGAGGAAAAAAAGCTCAAATTTACCTAGATAATTTCTAAAGTCAATTTGGCAGTGGATTTGCTGCAGAAAGATCAAAAACATTAGTTTTACAACGCAAAATCATAGTACACAAGGATGGTTATAACTCATGACGTAGCCGCAGTTTTGGTGCAAAATCGCTAAGTGAGCAGACAGTTAAATGTGGTGTTCCTTTGAGTGCTAAAATAAAAAAAAAAATGCCACTCACTGCACTGCTCTCATCATATTTTTCATAATACTGCGTTTTGGGGTCAGCGGATAAAACAACATAGTCCACACAGTGATCCATCAAATAAACTTTGCTTGGACCGTCTACATACAATGATGCACCTTCGCCCAAAGCATGAAGTAATTTTGCTTGTTGTGGACTCTGCGCTGATAACAGCCAGCTCTTCTGTTCCACATCTCCAATCTACAAAACATCGTAGCACTATAACCAAAGCGATAGAGTAATTTTGCTTTGCTTATATTCTTCAACAAAAAAAAAACTAGACACTGTAAGACGAAGCATATGAATAACGGTTGTTTGTATCTATAAAAAGTCGGTCAGTAGAGTTTTTTTTTTTTTTTTTTTTCAAAGCAATAAGCCGAATTTACCGAATTTTGTAAAAATCACTAATGTTTCACTACAGATCACAGATGCTCAAATGCAATCATATGCCTATTGTCCTACTTCTTCCTGTTCCCTACACAATATGCAACTAGCTGTAACTCCAAAAAATAATAAAAAGCTTTGAGCCTGAATATAAGTTTTTGAATACAGAACAAATTGCTTCATGCAGTAGCCAGTGCAACCAGCACACTCAGAAGACTAGTAAATTAAAAAAAATTCATGTCTTATTGGCTCACGAACAAGGGACACGTCAAAGCTCCGGGGCCATTTTAAAATAAAAATCTTCAGAATATGCGACCAGAAAAAAAAACCAGAAAAGTTTGCTCTTTTTTTAGAAATCAAAGCTGACCAGCAACAGAAAACAATAAAAGACACATGAAAAAAAGAAATAAACAATAAATGCACTTACTGACCTCAGCAAAACTGATCCGTGTGCCAGGATCACGCGATATCATTTTGAGAGCCAGATAACCGAGATCTACTCCACTAAGCTTTTTGCCCTCGATTTTCCGACGATCCAAATATTTGTTGGAGTGTTTCAACTTTGGCATCCAGTACATCATTCGTTTTATTTTCTTTGTAGCAAAATTCCATTCGCCAAAAACATTGACAACTATATCATGCACTTCTTTGTCCGGTTGCACTCCTGCAAAAAAAAATGCGTAGAAAAGGGCAACCACAAGAGGTTGGAAGCGAAACATGCCAAAAATCGCCAATTTTTTTTTTTTTTTACAGAAATCGGAAGTAGCGTTGTTTTTTAGAACTTCCTCAACAACACATCTCTCATTTATTAAAATAAGAATGGACTGTTTATATCAAGACATTCATCCGTCAGATGCTCAAGAGTGCTCCCCTCCCCGCCAAACAATCGATCGGAACTCCGGCGTAGCTGAGATCCCGGACACAGCTAAGTCAAATTTCATTTTGAGCTACAGGCCGTTAGTTTATGATCGCTGTCTCCACTAGCTTTATTTGCCAATAGAAAAATATTTTAGAGTTGGAAGAAGGCAAAAGCAAATAATATCAAGAAACTAGTAAATGTTATAAAAAATCCTAATAAAATTATTATAATGTTAAGAAATGTTTCCGTCCCTTCTCATCCAAACGGCCTTTTTTCTCTTTTCACAACTGCCGTTCATCGACATAAAACACCTGACAGCTAGTGCTGCTGGCAAGTATGGTTTGCCCGTCGGATTTTGCTTCCCAGATCAGTGGCCACATTCTATGCCATTCTTCATCTGGAACACATTTGCATGTCGAAACGGTTAAAAACAAGACAGAATGCGAACCAAACCATTCCATTTCATCGAGCAAACTGACACAACATATTTGCTGCTGTGGATAATACAGGAACGCTCTCTGAAACAGCACTCTGCATGACTGTCACATCAAATACCTCAAACTACCTTGTCACATAATATATCAAATATTAATTTATGATTTTTTGTTAGAAATGGCGAAAAGAGCAACTGTGTTACAATGATTCAATATCCCGGCCCCTGATTCAAACTCTGGATACCCTATCCTCGTTAAAGTTTTGCAATCTTAGTAATTTCTGACTCCTGGGGTATAAAAGCACTCCTCCCCATTCGCGGGATTCCACAGCTAGTTCCAACTACACGAAAAGCTACTCCTTCCTTCTTATCCATGTTCTGGGGAGCTTCGGCTTCCCAGAAACTCACCACCCTTTTTGTATTGCCTTTTCTTATTTTACGCTATTACTTTAATAAAACCATGCAATTACAGATACATGTGTACATGTATATATATACATATATGTATATATATGTACATATATACATATATATATATATATAACTAGGTGTTTGCCAAACACACACAAACACATACACTGGGCACGTCACTAGTCTACTTTATTAAATTTTAGGGTCGCGATAGCCTCTCAACATTGAAATTTAACCACAGATTAAAATGCCACTCTTGGCCGAAACCATTACCAATTTTAGCTCCATGCACATTTTTGCTCCAAACCGCCTAGGACCACGCTAAATTTGAGGCCAAACTTAGAGTCTCTTGACTGCGCTACAAACCTACCAAAGCAATCAGCAAATTTTAAGTCTTTTCTCTTTAAATTCACATGTTTCCGGCTAAAACTTGCCTTCTAGACTAGATTTTGTGAATTTTCAATTAATTACTTCACATTATTTCCTGCGATACTCGAAGTTTGAACGCAAAAAAAGGCTCGCATCAGCCACCTCGTTATGGTTCTAAGCTGATGTTTCAAGTATCTGACTTGGATCAAGATTACTGGCACCAAGCCGCCGAGCAATTACGTGGGAGAATAATCTGATTCGGGCGGCAGCAAAAATAGTCCGTAAATGCCGAAATGAAATGCACAGAAGCAAACTGCTAACCTGAAAGGCATTCTGCGGGATCAGCGGTCCTTTCGGAAAAATATTTAGCAGTGATTTGTAAATATCCAGATCCTTCTGCAGCCCATACTCCCTCATATATTTCAACGCCGAGTATATGAATTCCACGTGTCCCCGAGCATGCGTCTGCCTGCTACAGAAATTATCTGCAAAAAGATGCCTCAAACTTGCCCAAAATACCGCCTCGGATGTGCGTGCAACTGCTTTCCATCCCCAGATAGGCGCTCCTACCCACCTGGCTCCTAGGCACGGGCCCGCCAAAGTTTTTCCGGGTAATTTGCTAACGCGGAAACCTGAAAAGTTAGGAAACTGGAATTCTGAGGGGATGTTCCCCGTCCAAGTAAGTATTAATGAGCTCAAACCCAGCCACCGGATGTGTGTGGTTCTCACGTGCGGACCCGTGAAATTTTTTTTTGGGTAAGTTACTAACTCGGGAACCAGGAAAGCCAGGAAGCTGAAATTTTAAAGGGATGTTTTTAGTCAGCCCTGGTGGCCCAGTCTCAATTCTCTTAGCTAGAAGCATTTGCCGGAAAAATCGGTGCTGCTAGCGACAAAGACCATGCAAAAAATGCACTTTCGCATCAGCAGTCGGTGTGCTGGCCGTTTATTGCTCACTGTCAATGGCAACGCGCACCAGACTAGCCGGTGCGATCATGCGTTTTGTGCAATTCTGCCCGTCGAACGATTGCCTATTAACGATTTTCACTGCTTTGTACTTTAGTCTGTGCAAAAATAGTTCAAACAGTGGAAGACAGTTAAAAATTTCACGCATTCAAAACCTTGAAGGATGAATATCTTTCAGTGATTCCCGAGTTAATAGTTTACCCGCCAAGATTTTCACGAGGCCGTAGGTGGTACCAGAGAGCGCGAGAATGCTGAATTTCAATAGGCAAGGTTGAGCGTGGGCAGGGGGTCATAACCCAAAAATTTCAGCCTCCTACACTCCGTGGTTCCCGAGATATTAACTTGCCCGTAAAAAACTTTTGCGGGGCCACGGGCACGGGGAAGCTGAATTTAAACTTGCGGGGTCACACGTGGGTAGGGAACGTTCCCCTAAATTTTCAACTTCTTAGCTTCTGTGCTTCCCGAGTTGAAAGTTGCGGACAAGTTGCTGCGGACACACACACACACACACACACACAC